GAGCTTTTACTGAAGATGAGTTAAGCAAATGGAAAATTGCATGGGTGAGAAAAAGGCCAAGATAGTTACTCTGATTAATTTTCTTTGCCATTATAACAATGCGCTTGCTCATTCAAAGAGAGTAGCAAGGTTTGTCCCATGCAAACTTTGTTGAGAAACCTTAACCTATTCACCTTACAGCCTTGATTGCTCCTTCAGACTTCCTTTTGTGCCTCAAGCTCGAACAAAAATGGGAAAAAAAGTGATTTGTGTCACCCAAGGATGCCAAAATGCCATTTCAATGGTGTACATATAATTTAAAAACACAGAATTCTTTAGCAATGGGTTAGAGAGCTAGAACTGCCACTTGCAGAAGTGCATAACAGTGCACAGACGATAGGAGGCTATAATGAGAAACTATGACTTCACATGTACTTGGTTAGAAAAACCTTTTTATGATTTTGTAGCAATATTTTCCCCTGACCTTTGTTTTACTAACAAAATTTATCTGCAGTCATCCACCGAGTGGGATGACATGCTTAAACTTGTCTTGTTTATAATAATTCTGTGTGCGTATGAACTAGAACCGTAGTAAAAATACTTTTTTTTACTTGCCTGCATATACACATATACTTAGGCAAACCAATTTTCATGGAGTAGGTTCCAATTCATAACAACCTTAATAGATCAGAGAACTGCTACATAGGGCTTCCTGAGCCATAACCCTTAGGGAAGCAGACTGCCACATCTTTCCCATATAGGGTGGCTGGTGGATTTGAACCACTGACCTTTCGGTTAGCAGTCAACTGCTCATACACTGCATTACCAGGAATTCTCCTGTGTGTGTGTGTGTGTGTGTGTGTGTGTGTGTACATATGGTACATATACTTTCTTTTTATAAGGTGCATGACTACACTTCCATCTCTGTGCTCACAGTTCACAATTCTTTTTGAGATTAGTTGCAATTAGTTTTTCAATCATGACCTATTCTCATCAAATCTGTGTCTTTGAGACATAACCCAGAACATCCTTTCTGAAACTTCTCCTAAAAGCTCACTCCTATGTCATTCGTATGTGGGAAATGATCCTTCTCTCTCGACGCCATTTGGGTGTCAGCCTAGACTGTCTGAAGCAGGAATGTGAGCCTCTGTGAGAGTGAGGATTCTAGATTGTTCTCGCTCACTCAGTTTTACTGCCTAGGCAGGTTACTTGGCCTTTTCTGGAGCTCATAATCCTCTCCTTTCTGAAATCGACGATCCTTCCACTAGAACACTCCTCTGAAATGGGAAGATGGGCCCCCTGGTTTGAAATGTCAACAGAATTACCTGGGACTCAGATGTAGGTTTAAGCATATACGGAGTTTGAACCAGGAGCTAACCGTAAGTATTAATGAATCATGAATGAATGATGGGGAGTGGGATACGGCTTGAGTAGAGTCTGAAGGAGAAAACCAAAGAAACAATGTTGCCTTAATCCAGGGTTGGGCCTTGCTACTGACCTCCTTTTTTGTATATTTGGATTATAACCAAATTTAGAAGTGATTCTTCAGCTTTAAAGTAGAGAATTTTTAGGTATGTTCCAGGTTTTTTTTTTTAGTTCTATGTATGAAGTAACATCATTAAATGGAAGAAACAAATATTGGTGTAGGTGACTTGGCTAGAAAGCTTGTTCAGAACATTTAAAAGTGGAGAAACAAAAAGTAGCAATTTTTTTCCTTATTTCTATAACACTAACCAGTGCTTTAGAAAAAACCCAAACTGGATTTTAGGTTATATCAAATAAATCCCATTGACTAAATCTGCCAGTTCATTGCCATGACAACCTTCACTTGGAGCTAATTAGGAGTTAACTAGGACACTTGAAGAGATTGATTCTGTCCTGGAATTGAACAGGGTTTTATAAATTCTTTAATCTATTTAATTTGATAACAGTGCAGCTTTTTGATAGGTGACTGGATACAAAGTCCAGAAAATGTGCCTTGTTTTGATACGGGGGAATAGTGAATCTTGTTTTCTTTCTCGTTCTCTTTCTTTCTTTCCTGTTTAATACCTAAAGTATAAAATGCTTACTCCTGCAAACCGTTACAGTCTCAGAAACAAGGGCAGTTCTACCTTGTCCTATAGGGTTGCTATGAGTCAGCATCAACTCTATGGCAGTGAGTGAAAGTATGAAACAAGACAAGAAGCTCAGAACACAGATCCTAATTTAAAGTGGGAGGGCTGCAGAACAGGCGTTCCAATCACGTGTGGCTTGCAAACTTTGTGGTTGTTCTAAAATGAGAAACATTGGCTCAGAATGGCTGAATATTTAGCCTGTCATTCGTGGGTTATAGTGTACATTCAGACATATCAGGTGCTTTAACGCATAGGAAATGTGCAAGCCAGCCCAAATTTGTGGTACAAATACTTTATTGGAAGTGATAGCCTACTGATGAAAATGTTTCTAATATGTTTATAAAGGCACCCAAGGTTGATTCAGCAACCAATATCAGATTAAGATCAATGAACAGATGACATTTGAGAAGATACTATGTCAACAGTTTTCTAGGCTTGGGGAGGTGATGACATAGACTGAGAAATAAGTACAATGGGCTCCATGGAGCAGGTTAATGATTGTACGAGCCTGGCCCTAGGTACCCGGATGTCACTCATTGTGAGCCCAGCCATTGGGAAGCCCTCTCCCAGCAAAGTGAAGTTTCCAAGGACACTTCAATCTCATAGTAGAGTTCAATGGTAGAGCATTTGACTGCAAAGACACATCAATCTGATACTCAAAACTGTTGCAAACAATCTGAATCTACAGATTTCTTATAGAAACATCTCAAAGGAATCCTTTCATAATACTCAGCAAACCATCTGTTAAGTCTTCTTTCCCCCCAGTTACCTGGCTCTCAGTATCTCTCTAACAGCAACGGCTGTGCTACAATGTCTGCCTCATTTGGCTCCATCTCCTTTGTAAGACTTTCGTTCCAACTCAGTCTGGACAAGTTTTAGTTCTTCTCTTTTCTTGCTCTGGTTCAGCTTCTCAATATGGAGTCCAGCCTAGCCTTTCTAACCTCTTACATTTTTAATATTAGCCTCATAATCTGTCTGCAGCGCTATACAAGGGGATTACTGTTGTTATTGCTGTTGGGTGCAATCTACAAGGTTCCACTTCAGAGCAACCCTAGGCAGAATAGAGGGAACCACTGTCCAATTCTGCAACGCCCTCACAATTGTTACTGTTTGAGCTTGTGGATATAGCCACTGTGTCAATCCATCTCACTTAAGACCTTTGTCTTTCCTGATGACCATTTATTTTATGAAACGTGATGTCCTTCTCCAGGGGCTGGTCTCTCCTGATAGCATATCCCAAGTACTTGAGACAATGTCTTGCCAGCTCAATTCTAATGAGTTTCTAGTGACCTATGTTTATTCTTCTGGCAGTTCATAGTAATTTCAATATTCTTCACCAGCACCATTGATGCATTTGATTCAAATGCATCAGTTCTTCTTCAGTCTTTCTTGTTCATTGCCCAGTGTTCACATGCATATGAAGTGATGGAAAATATCAAGGCTTGAGTCAGGTGCATCTTAGTCCTCAAAGTGACATTTTGACACTTGAACATTTTAAAGAGGTCTTGTGCAACAGCTTTGCCTAATGCACTGTGGTGTATGATTCTTTTTGACTGCTCTTTCAGGAGCACTGATTGTGGAACCCAGCAAAATGAAATATTTGACAACATCAATCTCTTCTTCATTTATTATGGGGGACTTTATTAGTCCAATTGTAAGGAGTTTTGTTATTGTTTTACGTGGAATTATAATCGACCCTGAAGGCTTTATTCCTTGATCTTCTTCACTAAGTGCTCCAATTCTTTCAGCAAGCCATGCTGTGGTAACCACGTAACACAGGTTGTTAATGACTCTTCCGCTGTCTTTTTTGTCATATAGTCCAGTGTACAGATTACATACGTATCGTGAAAAGATTCAATCATGACACATATTTTCCTGATTTTAAACCATCAAGTATTCCCTTTTCCTATGCAGACAGTTGTCTTTTGGGTCTTTGTACAGGTTCTACATGAGTTCAGTTCAATACTGTGGAATTCTCATTCTTCACAATATTACCCATAGTTTTTATAACCCACATAGTCAAGTAAACACAAGGAAACATCTTTCTGGTATTCTCTGCTTTCATCCAAGATCCCTCTGACACCAACAATGATGGCACTCAGTATACACCCTCTTTTGAATCAGGCTTGAGTTTTTGGTAGTTTCTTCTCTGTATATTGTGACAACTGCTTCTGAATTATCTTCAGGATTTTTTTTTTTGCATTTGATAATAATAATATTGGTCAATAATTTTTTCTTGTGTTTGGGTCACCTTGCTTTGAAATGGGAACATATCTTCCAGTTGGTTGCCAGGTAGCTGTCTTACAAATGTCTTAGCACAGACCAGTGAGTGCTTTTAGCACTACATTAGTTGTTGGAATATTTCACTTGGTATTATGTTAATTCCTTGGGCTTTGTTTTTTGGTCCCCAATACTTTTAGTGCAGCTTGAATGCCTTCCTTCAGTACCATTGTTTCTTCATCATATGCTGCCTCTTGAAATGGTTGAAAATCAATGGCTCTTTTTACTTTTTTCATCTTCTTTTGATCCTTGCTGCATCAGTCAATATTTTGCCCATAGACTCTTTCCCTGTTGTAATTTAAGGCTTGAATGTCTCCTTCAGTTCTTTCAAGTGGAGAAATGCTAGACTTGTAATTCTCTAAAGCATATGAATTTTAATAGCAAATGTAGAAGGAAAGGGATATGAGTTCAGAGTCCCTTATGTCTTATAAAATTAATAGTCTATAACCTCAGGAGAGGTATGAGACTGTCTAGTTCAGTAAAGATTTAAAGCTTCGGAAACCCAAAGGGGCAGTTCTACTCTGTCCTATAAGGTTTCAATGAGCCAGACTCGACTTGATGTAAAAGGGAAAGTGGAACGTCTTAACAACAAGATAAACCTCATCATGATGTTTTTCTAATTTCTAGAGCATGATTATTGAATGTTGCTCTGAAATAACATCTCTACTTCTGATGGATAGAGAACAGCTACCACTAAGGAAGGTATGTACTTCCCCTTTAGAACTATATTTAATTCACTCACAAGTATTGCTGTTGCTATGGAAATGAAATACAGAAAATATCTATTATGAATATATCAAGGGCTTAACCCTCCTTAATTAATGTGAAAATGTAATAAACATGAGATTAGAATAGCATGTAATCTTGGTTAAAAATATACCTTGTTTAAAAACCGACTAGTACAAAAAGTTATGGAGAAAGTAAATATTAAAATCATCTCAAACTTTCTTTTCCAAACACAACCATAGTTTATGACTTAGAAAATATCTATGAATAAACTTTAAAATGTTTACATTGATAAGATTATATTTTACATGCACTATGTTATTTAATTGTTTTCACTCAACAGTATACCATGGAGATTTTTTTCTATGTAAAAAGTTTACTTTCTTACATTTAATGGTTGCATAATATTATCTTTTATGTATTTGATGTGCCAGGCATTATTATATAGTGATATCCTTAGCAATATACATTGAAGTTGCTAAAGGAGCCCTAGTGGTGCAGTGGGCTACTAACTAAAGGTTGTGCAGTTCAAACCAACTAGCCACTTAATGGGAGTAGATACAGTTTACTTCTATAAAGATTTGTAATCTCAGAACTCTAAGCAATAGTTTTTCTCTGTCCAATAGCAACAGAGCTGCAATTTACTCAATAGCAGGGATTTGAGGTTGATGGCTTCTACTGTGTATGTATTTCACCTTTCTACATCATTTCTCCAAAAGTAATTCTTAGAAATAGGATTTTGGAGTAAAATAGTATACACAAATTATAATGAATATTTGCAAATGGCCTTCCAGAAATATTCCAGACCAATTCTATCGTCATTGATAAATGAAACGTCCAATCCACCCCCATGCTCAGCCACATTAGTTCCTCTTTTTCTCTCTGTCTCCTTTCCCAAGTGTGTATGTGGAGTCAATCATCAATGGTGCACATTAATGTGCTTGGCTTCTAGCTGAAAGATTGTTAGTCTCGGGCCACCCAGAGCCACCTTGGAAGAGAGGCCTGACAGTCTACTTCTGATAAATTAGCCTTGAAAACCCAGTGGATAACAGCTTTACTCTGGTGTCAACACGAGTTGGCACTGACTGACCAATATTGGTTAGTTATGGTTCCGCGTTCGGTACTACTTCCTAGGCACCAAAGAGCCCACTGGGGCCGTGTAGAGCTGCCATTTTACTGAAGAGAAATACGAGGAGGATTCAGAAAGGTTGTGGAAAATAGAATTAATAGACAGTAGGATTTTTACATGAAATTTTTGAAGGTCTCTGGTAGATAGTAACCAAATCAGTAAGCAAGATAGTATCAGCTGTTGTCAAGTGCTATGAAGGAAAAATAAAAGAGTGCTATGTTACAGCAGGAGTCATCAAAGCATAGCTCGAGGACCACATCTGGCCCTCTACCTGTTTTATAAATTATTTTAACAAATCCATGCCCACGCATTTCATCACAGTTCTGTCTATACCTTATTTTGCAGAATAACAGCAGAGTTTAATTGTGTCTACAGAGATTGGATGGTCCCCAAACCTAAACTATAACTCTCTTAGACATTACAGGAACGAAACATGGTGATCTTGTGATAGAGAAAAATGAGGAGTATGATTCCATTTTATGTGTTCAGGGAATCCCTCAGCGTTCAAGAAATGCCTGTCTCTCAGAGCAGTTGACATTTGAGGTTTATGAATAACACACGTCACATTTTCAACTTCAGTACATTTTTACTTTTGTGGGTAGTGCATTTCTAGAAATTTGTCTGTTTCTTTTAGGTTTGCATATTATGTGGAGCACACTTCTTCAAAGTATTCTTTTATATATAAATCATTTTATTGGGGGTTCTTACAGCTCTTATAACAATCTATGCATCAAATGTACCAAGTACATTTATACATATGTTGCCATCATCATTTTTGAAATATTTTCTTTCTACTTGAACCCTTGATATCAGCTCCTCTTTTTTCCCTCCCTCCCCATCCTCCCACCCCTGGAAACCATTGATAAATTATAAATCAGTTGTTCTCAATCTTCCTAATGCCGTGACTCTTTAATACAGTTCCTCATATTGTGGTGACCCCCAACCATAAAATTATTTTTGTTGCTACTTCATAACTGTAATTTTGCTACTGTTATGAATCATAATGTAAATATCTGATATGCCAGATGTATTTTCATTGTTACAAGTTGAACATAATTAAAGCGTAGTTATTAATCACAAAAATAATATGTAATTATATATTGCGAAATATTTATTTCTAATTACAAATAAATGAAATTTTGTCTTGAAGTATGGTATAGCATGGGTAACAGTATTAATATAACAACATTCAACTACATTGCTACATTTTGCGACAGTATGTGTAAAAAGCCAACTTCAGTGCAAAGGTTGAGGTAGCTTCTTCCTCACCAGATCAGCATATCTGAGCGGTGTCTCAGTTCCTAGATCATCGGAAATATGTGTTTTCTGATAGTCTTAGGTGACCCATGTGAAAAGATCCTTCGATCCCCAAAGGGGTCGTGACCCACAGGTTGAAAATCGATAAATCATTGTTATGTTCATATCTTATACTCTCCGCTGTCTCCTTTCATCCATGTTTCTGTTGTTCATCCTCCTGGGGTGTGGATGAGGATTTAATACATAGATCATTGCAACTGGCTCCCTCTTTCTCCCCTTTCTTCCCCCACCACCCCGCTACCATCATGTTATCACTACTCCCCTTACTGATCCTGAGGGGTTTATCTGACCTGAATTCCGTACGTTGTGTGTTTCGTTGGTGCTATACTGCATATAGTATTCTTTTTTAATCCTTTTTATTTCCTTTGGTGCTGTTGTGGTATTATTGTTCATTTCATTTCTTATTCATATTATTTATATCTCCTTTTTTCTTTGTTAGATTTGCCAGTGTTTTGTCATTATTGATAATTCTTTTAAAAAAATCCTTCATCTGGATTCCTTTTAATTTTTTTCTGCTTTCTGTTTCATTTATTCCTGCTCTAATTCATATCTTTCATTTTCTTTTGGTGACTGTAGGCTTATTTTGTTGCTCTTTTCCTAATTGCTGATGTTGGGTTAAAGTGTTAGTTTTGATTTGTTCGTATTGGACATGTGCATTATTACTATGATTGCCCGTCTGAGCACTGCTTTTGCTCCAAATGTGTGGCCGTGTTGTGTTTTGATTTTCATTTAATTCAATAACTTTTTATTTCATTTTTATGCATCTTATTATTCAGTAGTTTTAAATAGGATGTTGTTCATTTTCCAGGTATTGTTTCCCTTTATCTTCGTGTTGATGTCTAATTTTATAAAATTTTAATGTGAAAAGATGTTATGTAGTGTTTTGAGGGGTTTTTTTTTTTTTCATATTCAATAGACGTTTTATGTTAAAGGTAAAGACACTTTGGAAATACATTTATTGTTTTGAACAAATTAAACACTTAATCTGGAAATATTAAACATTTTTATTCCAAATACTAACATCCACAAACTGCATCCTGGTACCTACATGCACCAACACCCACCCTCTTAAGTGTACCTTAACTAAGGTGACCAGACGTCCATCCCGCTTTTGGCAGGACAGTCCGATTTTTAACAATTTATCCCGCGTTCCGCGGCGGTTTAAAAAAGTCCCGATTTTTGGAAAGAATGCACGACCAGCTAGGGTATACAGTTTTCAGCTGCCATGTGGCAATTTCGCCAGGATATGAGCTTTATCAATGGTGTCCCGCTTTTGTTCCGCTTTACCAATGTTAAAATCTGGTCTCCTTAACCTTAACCTTAAGCCCTCACCCTGCCTCAGCTCTGAAGCCTTTTCCAAACACAAGACACTCATCCCAGCAAAGGAGGAGTTCTAGCAATCACACAGAAATTATCCGTAAAGGGCTTGATTAGAGAAGGCTGGCGGCTACTTTTCCCTTCGGGAAGCACACAGGGGAGAAGACACTGAACCGGATGCAGGTGCCAGTAGGTCCTGGTTCCGCTCCACAGCCCGGTGCAGGCCGAGATCCACCTGCTCTGAGAGCTCCGCACAGCAAGGCAGGCGGTCCCCGGGGACCGTGGGGGTGGGAGGACGGGGTGCACAGCGGCCCCGGCAGGCGGTGGGGACCGCCTCCGAAAGACAGCGTGGTCTTGGGAATGATCTCCACGGACTCCTGGATCTCAGCCTCCTTGATCACCAGCGGCGGCGCGAGTCGGATGAAGTCGCCGTGGGTCGTGGGTCTGCTTGGCCAGGAGCCCGTTGTCTGGAAGTCGGAGGCAGACCCTCCAGGCGTCGTAATCTTTGGTCTCTTTGATAACGACCGCATTCAATAACCCTTTCCCTGACAGCCGTCACAATATCAGAAGGCTGCTTCATGAGCTCATGTCTCAAGAGGGCACCCATGTTCCCAGCATTTCCCACCAGGTTTTCTTCTTCCAAAACCTCCAGGGCGGTGACGGCCAATCGGCAGCCCAGGGGGTACTCGCCGTGGGTGGAGCTGTGCGCCCCGGGACTGATGGTGAGCATCACCTCGTCATCACACAGCCCCGCTGAGACAGGGTGCAGGCCCCGGGAGAGGGCCTTGCCCCAAAGCACCGTGTCTGGCCTCAAGTGTTCGTGGTCAACCGCCAGCCAGGCCCATCTGTATTTCATCAGCCATGAACAGAACCTGGTGCTGGGTGCAGAGTTGGTGCCCACCTGCAAGGTAGCCCGGCTCGGGGACGATCACCCCCGCTTCCCCCTGGATGGACTCCACCTTGAACGCAGCGACGTTGGGGTCCTGAAGAGCACGCTCCAGAACTGGCAGGTGGTTGTAGGGAATTATTTCAAAACCAGGCATGAATGGCCCAACGCCATCATGGCTGCTCGGGTCTGTGGAGCTGGAGATGGCAGACAATGGTCTACCCCAGAAGTTGCTGACTGCGAGGACGATCTTTGTATTTGGGATGCCCTTGACGTGCAGCGCCACTCACGGGCCAGCTTGCAGGTGGTCTCTCCAGCCTCCACGCC